ACAGCAACAAAATCCCCTACACACACACACACACAGAGAGAGAGAGAGAGAGAGAGAGAGAGAGAGAGAGGAAGAAGGAGGAGGAGGAGGAGGTAAAAAACCCCTCAGCACCTTGAATTTTGTAAATTCCATTGGAAAGAGAAGGAGAAACTTGACAGAGTTCATCTGTTTCAGTGGACCTATGAAGACAAAGGCAAAGCCATAAAGTCAGCATCTCCCTTACAGGAGTCTACCTGCCTTGGTTCTTGGGCAGCCTGGCATTTGCAAAAGCTGGAAGAGCTTCAGCACAGGTACCATGCATGTCCCCAAACCTTTTCCAATACTATCAGCTATTACAAATAGGGGAAGAGGCTCCAATGCATCATCACATTTGGAAAATGTCCACAAGGCAATTTGTGTGCAACAAAACAGAAGTATTTTAGTTAAAGGAAAAGGACAATAAAGATCTTGCAGTAAGTGTTATGCACCTACTGCAGAAAGTATAGAAGTACAGGGGATGTTATACAAAGGGTACAATGATATTTCTACATATGCTTTCAAATGCAAACAGTAATCTTTCCACAACTCTCAGATAACGCCATTATTGTAAAGTGCCATGACTCGGGAGGGAAGGGAGTTGAAGGAACTAAAATAATATGTGAATTCTCACTGGAGATCTGCCACATACCCACAGTTGCAAAGGAAATACAGGTAATCCTCGACTAACAGGCATTGGTCACCACTGACATTATTGAAAAAAGTGACTTACAACTGGCCTTTACAACATTTGCAACATCACCATAATCACATGTCAAAATTTGGGCACTTGGCAACTGCCATGTCTTTATGCTTAATAACTGTGATGATTCACTTAAAGACTATTGCAAAAAGGATCCTAAAATCAGATGTGAATCACTTAATGTCCACATTATTGAAGAGTGGAAATTCTGGTCTCAATTACACTGTAAGTCGAGATGTGTGCTGCAAAACAGATTTGCAGCATTTTCTTTGAAGCAGGAGGTGAGCTAGAAGTCAATCAACTCAGCTGCAGAAGTGACAGAGTAGCCCCAGAAAAACACAGTCAAACAAGAATAGAAGATCATTCTAGGATCATAGTGAGGATAGAACTTAAGTCACCTAGGCTACAAAATCCCATTCTACAGATCAGTTACCGTAAATGCCGGCGTATAAGACGACTTCCGCGAGCGCTGAAATCGGCGCCAAAGACGGGGGTCGTCTTATACGCCGAGTCGTCTTATACGCCGGAAATACTGGTAGTTTCCGGCGTATAAGACAACGTTCTAGGAATGCGGCCCGGCTATAAAGACGGGGGTCGTCTTATACACCGGGTCGCCTAATACGCCAGCATATACAGTAATACAAAGGATGCTAATACATGACCCAACTGGATTCTGATTTTAACTTCCATTTCTCGTGTATTTTGTATTGGGCTCTAACTGTGCTTCTCAAATGAAGAGAAAAGTATAGAAATCAAAACACACAACATAGATAAAACACAGATAACTCAATTTTAATGGCTGATCCAAAAGAGATCAACGCTATATCTCTACTAGCTTCAAATATGAGAAGTCAGCCATATCTTCAACCCGTCTAGACTCCAGACAACAGACATGAAGAGATTATACTGTCAATTCAGGTATTTCTAGTGTCTGTCAGATCACTCAGAATGAGAAAAAATTATATGTATATATTTCAGAAAACCCACACCCAAATCTCAATAATAAATAAATAAAGCAAGTGTCCTGCCAGTGCCATAGCAGAAGTTTAATAACTTCAGACAGTTTAGCAATTATGATAACGATATACCAAGATGTTTTGCAGTCATTTGCAAGCCAAAGCGGCTCCCAAGAAAGCATACACAAGCCAAAAATATGAGTCATGCTCAAGCAATTTTGCTATGGGCCATAAAATCACTTTGTGTAAGTTAAAGCTAAATCTGTATATATTCTATAATATTTCCCTACTGTGGGGAGGCGGAGATCTCAGTAGACTATCACAGATAATGACAAAAAACAAATTCTGTCTATAAAAGCTGATTGCTGCATAAGTCACCCTTAACTGTTCCAGGAACAGTATGCAGATGGTATACTTTATGCCGCATTCAGCAACAAAGAGACACAGTCCATCAAGCACACACCATACTGACTTCAATTTGTTTCAATTTTAGCCTATTGTAGGGAAGAATTCAGAGCTGCACTGCCACATGGTTTATTCAGCTTGCTAATTTACATTATATTTACTCTTCACCCTACAGCTTACTCTTCTTCACAATTTTCTTTCATCCTTACCTAGTATGCACATTTAAGCAACAGCGTTATGGCCCATTTTATTCATTATTTATAAGAAAGATAATAAAATGAAAGATGGCTGTAGACTAAGAAATCCTTTTTAAAAATATCCTACCTACAATGTAGAGAAAGCATTTTTTTTTCAACTTCAATATCCATATGTATTCTGGGGATAACAGTGATGGCTTACTATGAACACCATTGTATAGCTTATATACAATAAAGTGCTGGAATAGCTAAAAAAAAAAAAGCATCTATTCTAATGAATCTTTGGGGTAGAATACCTGTATTCCTGACTTTTACACATTATTCTTCAGGCAATCTCATTGTATAATCAGAGTTCTACGAGTATGAGCAAAAAATACCTAAAACAATATAATTTTCTATTCAACAATTCTTTCAGTGATTACATTAAAAAAGACAGACCTACTATTTCTCTGATATTGTGTCTCAGCTGTTAAATATTTCCAGAAACTTTTTTCACAGTTTAACTTTTTGTGAGTTCAGAATAAGTTGATAAAATGTGAACGTTTTCTCTTATTTAGGTACAATTTGGAAGATTGTTTAGAGCAGTGGTTCTCAACCTGTGGGTCGGGATCCCATTTGGGGTCGAACGACCATTTCACGGGGGTCGCCAAACAACGCAGTCCGAAATTTTTCCCCTTTTCCTTAGCTGTGCTACTCCCTTTTATTCTATTGGCTTTTGAAAGCCAATAGAATAGACTCTCTTGAATAAAGTCTAATTCTATTGGCTTTCAAAAGCCAATAGGAATTGTCCAGGCTGTCTCTGCCCTGCTGAGCCCGCCAAAAGTCCCATTCTGCAAACGGTGCTGCACCAGTTGAGTAGTCCTCGACTTACGACCGGTTGAGTAGTCCTCGACTTACGACCTGTTGGGGGTCGCGGCATTAAAAAGGTTGAGAACCACTGGTTTAGAGGGATTGTGTAGGCAGCATGTCAAGGAAATATAAAATAAAACTTTTCTCCATTCTGCAGTCTAGAAGCCATTATTTCAGTTACTTACAGAACAAAAAGGGTGTACTGATTACATTATTAATCCAACCAATTATGTTCTGAATGTATTGCCCACAAAAAGAAGACAAAGGGCAATATTCCCATAATTTGATATGGATATTTAGAAACAGTTGCAATCATTCAAATGGTAATATAATTAAAACTCCCCATGATAGTAAGGAAAATTAATACCTTCTAATGATTTATGCTATACTTATAAATAAAATAAAATCAATACATTTTTTATATTCGCTTAACTTTGGATTACATATATAAAGCCATAGTAATTTTGGCCTGGAAGATTTGGAGTTATACCTTGACATATCTAGTTTGACACATCTAAACTAGTTTGGGAAGCCAAATGTAAGCAAAGATTATCTTCTGCAAAATAGGGCATAGGGATACGGTGTTCCAAAGAGGAGTATTTCTTTAGGGAAAAAAAAGGCCTTGGAATATAAAGCAACCAATCAGAATCTATCTAAAATGCTAGAAATGGTCATTGTTATTAGCTCTATGTCTCATTTGGAGATCTTCATTCTGGAGAAGCAACCTAGAACTAAGGAGAAACTTCCTGACAGTGAGAACAATTAATCAGTGGAACAGCTTGCCTCCAGAAGCAGTAAATGCTCCAACACTGGAAGTTTTTAAGAAGAGACTGGACAGCCATTTGTCTGAAATGGTGTAGGGTTTCCTGCCCGAGCAGGGGGTTGGACTAGATGACCTCCAAGGTCCCTTCCAACTTTACTACTACTATTATTATTATTATTATTATAGAACATGTAAAATCAATTCTTTCCAGAAGTCTGCAGAAAGAAAGACTAAAACTAAACAGCAAGTCTTTCCAAGAAGCTGATTGGCCTGGCTGTAACTCATTTTATAAAACCAAAAGGAAGCACTTTTTTGAGTGCACTGGTATCTTGTGAATTTGGAACAAAATGGAAGTTCAATTAGGGTAAGAACCTATTTAAAAATATTAAAGAACTCTTTTTTATTGCATAATTCTGAATGAATGAAATCAAGGTGTTATATACATTTTAAAATGAAGTCAATGGTAATAAACAGCAATCAAGTTAGCAGCATTAATAATTAGCCATGAACATATTATCATCCATTTTAAATGTGCCGGGTATATCTTTTGAAATTTATCTTAGCAACTGTAGCATAAGGAACATTTCAAGTACTTGTATACTACAAACTGAAGTTCCCCTGGTTTCACAAAAGGACTGATTTCACATTGCATCAGATAATTATGCCTCTGAACTGATACACTAATTTAATTCCAATATTAGGATCAAGGTCAAGCCTCTTTTAATTCAAGCTTAACTCCTGATAATTACATGACCACCTCCATGTAACCATGACAGTAGGATTTATTATTGCCTTCTTCCTGGTTGTTGTTTTTTTCACTTCACATTCTAGCTCTTTGCCATTCCTTAGTGGCCTCTTATCTCATAAGTGCTTGCAAGGCATCAGGAAAGGCAAGCAACAAAATTTTAGGATGCAAATATATAAGGATTTTGTTTGTGTGTTGTATCATCATGAGCATTATTATCTTTCAATCATTATGGCTTCCTGTAGACATCTTTGTTCCATTCAAATATTAAGCAAGCTCTGCTTAGCTTCCCAAACCAGACAAAGTTCACTGCATGAATATTGAAAACCCATTACAAAACATCCAAATATTTGTAAAGATTAAGTAC